GCAGGGAGCCCGATGCGGGACTCGATCCCGGGACTCCAGGATCATGACCTGAGCCGAAGGCAGTCGCTCAACCGACTGAGCCACCCAGGCGCCTGCGGCAGAGTTTATTTTAATAGCTTATGAACAATTAAAGCGCAATTTAATATTTATTGAGGATCTACAGAGTACCAGGCCCCGTCTAAATAAATCCGTCGGCTGACGTGTATCTTTTCCACAGAACTCCTGCATGGGCAAAGCGTGGCGTTCTCCACAGGACGGTGTGCAGCCACTTCCTGACGTGGTTCCCTTGCCTGCGTTTCCCCTGAGGTGCTTGGAGGCTGTGGTAGTGACTGTGGCAGTCTGAGCTGGTTAGGAGGGAGGTTGTCAGACACGCTGAGGTGGCGTTACCAGTGCCGCCCCCCCACTGAAGAGGGGGGGCGGCACTGGTGGGAGAGGGGTCTGGGTGGAGAGAAGCAATGGACTCTTTCACAATCAGTTACGACAGGAGGAGCCAAGAAGTGTCCTTGTTTGTTGCAACACGCTGGTTTTCTTATTCTCCTTTGGTCATTTTTGACCAGGCCAGGCGGAACCGAAAAAAGGCGGTATGTCTGGAGGGGTGGTAAACTAGCCACCTTTTTCTTCATGTGCTCCAAACTCCACGGCATGTGACCTAAGACTCCAGTGCTTTGTCTAACCTAAATTCCCACCCCCTGTTTCCTCTCTCCAGGCAGGGTGCTGGAAGCACACCATCAACCTTTCATTCCCCATCTCACTCCTGGGCCTCAAATTGTCAACTCTCCATCTCCAGGCTATTCCCTCAGCTGGAATACCCTTCTCTTCGTTGTAAAACGGTTTTATCCTTCAGAGCTCCAGGCTATTCCCTCAGCTGGAATACCCTTCTCTTCGTTGTAAAACGGTTTTATCCTTCAGAGCTCAACTCAAACGCCAAGTGCTTCTTGCAACAAGAGGTGAAACCATGTGCCAAGGATTTTCAGATATACTCTCGAGTCGGTTCCATTTGAGGCTTGCTTTCTCATCTTTCAGTGTGTTTCTTTGAACCCGGGGTCGGTATGCCACCGGCTGCTGCCTCAAAGCTCCCTTCAGTCAGGACCCCTGGTTGGTGATCCTGGCTCCTCGCTCCCTTAGCTCCCTGCCTAAGTCTCTGTATGATCCCTTATTTCACTCTGCTTCACAATTAGTTGCTGCTGGACATGTTTACAACCTCCGTTCTGACCCCACTGTCAGTTTTTTGAAGACTGGTACCTCTTCTCATCCTCCTATGAGATGTATGTCCACAACCTGCAGCATGTAGAGCTTTATAAAGTAAAACATATACATATACTAAGTTACAGAACAGGCATTTCTACTCCAGCTTCTCCTACCCATGAACATTGACAGTCTAAAGGGTTCAAAAAGTTTAGAATTTTCTTTCCCCAATTCCACCAGTCTTAATGTGTAAAGGTCACACGGGTGTGTCACAGCCTGGAATTAGGAAATGCTACTAAAATTGTTGCTTGCTGCTGTTTGTTTTTTTTTTTTAAGGTTTAACTAGCAGAACCTGTTGCTTAATGAAGTGGAGTAATGAACCTTGTAGAAATGTCTCTAGGATTTCAAGGTGGATGGGTGGATAACATCACTGGAGAGACAGTGCAGGGAAATAATAATCTTCTTCAGCTGAGCGGAGACCACCCCTGCCGCTCCCAACTGAGCTCATTTTTGTCTGCTAAGACATGGGGGGCAGGGGACGGGCAGATTCTGGGAGACTGGTTTAACCTGTTGACTCTAATGCTCAGCTGAATGAAGCAATGGTAGTTCAAGCTGGATTTGAAACTCTTTGCAGGCAGTTACTGAAGAGTTTCAAAGCCAGTTAAAAGAAGCACTGGTTTAAGTGAAAACTAAGTAAATTTCCCACAAGCACTTTGGTTGTTTGAAGAATAAGTGGGTCTGATAATTCTCAGAGGACATAAGCTGTTGATGCCTTCCAGGAATAGCATCTCCCAAATTATACTGCTAATTTGCCCTGGGTGAGGCAAAACTCTAGAAACTAGTACATGTTTCCAAAATAAAAACCCTAATGTAAAAAATACGAAGAGATATCTCTTTTGTCAAAATCTGTTTGTTTCCAGAGTTAAGGATTATGTTCTATTCTTTGAAAGAATTCTGTGTGTATGTAAAAGTAAATATTTTTTCATTTATTTTACAGTACTACATAAATATTTAACTTAGAAAAACAAGAGAATATATTTGCCCAAAATAAAGCTTCCTCATACCTTTTTTTTTTTTCCTGAAACAAATGTTTCCAGAAGCAAAGAATTCTTTTTGTGGAATATGTTCTTCCATTTGCACATGAGATGAAGGAATGAATTAAAAGAGCCATGACTGTCACTAGCAAGAGCAGAAAGTAGAAAAATATAATCCTTTTTCCTGTACCCTCTCTCAATGACCTTCTCCATCAGGAAGGAATGGTTGTTAGCATCCCTCCTGCTCTCTGGTGGTAAGAAGGAAGAGGCTCACAAAGACCTACTGCTGCATATTCTGGAACCAAACATACTTAATCTTCATCTAACAAAGTAGAAAGGAAAAGCAGTCACATACAAATACAATCATTTTTCTTTCCAAGTCTTTCTCTCTGAAATAAATACCCAGTTATAAAAATGTTAGCCAAAGAACGCATTTTAGGATACCTAGGAGTTTTTAAAGGGAGGAGGATGAGAATCCATTTCATAAGCTCTAGATCCTACACACCCTTCCCAAAGGCCCATTTTGTCATGGCCATTTAGCAACTGTATTGTACTTTCAAAGATTAGTGAAGGTTTCTAAGGGTGTTGGTGGACCAGGATCCTCCTAGCTCTCATTTTAGAGAAAACTGAATGGGGGGAGGGGGGAGAAGGGGGAAGGAGTGGAGCAAAAATAGGAAACTTTCCAGACACATTCTTCAGGTTAATGTGTACTGACATAAGTGGGCTCCAAGTCACAGTTAACTAACCAAACCCTAATTATATTTCATGGAGCAAATTTAACCCTCTGCAACAGTAGTGCTCAAACTTAAGTCCATCAGAATCACCACGAGGTCTTGTTAAAACACAGACTGCTGGGCTCTACCCTTAGGGTCTCAGATTTGGTAGGTTTGGAGTGAGACATAAGCATTTGCCTTTCTGACAAGTTCCTAGGAGATGAAGATAATATCGTTGGTCCAGAGACCCCACTTTGAGAACCAAGGTCCTACAGCAATTATCCACAACCCTGACTGTGCATCAGAAGACTCTTCTTTGGAGGTTTTATAAAATCCTGATACCTAGTCCCCACCCTAGATCCACTGAAGCAAAATCTCTAGGCTGGTCTTGTCAAAGATAAATAAATGTGGACACTAGTTAAAGCAGTAAGGGTAGATTTTATTCAGTAATAACTATTGAGATAGGGAAGAAGGTCCAGCATGAACTGAAATCAACTTTGTCAAAACAAAAGGTAAGAAAGAGACTTTTTAAAGTTGAAGTATGCTAAGGGAAAGGCATTGAGATGTGTTAAGCATCCATGGGACAGGCCATGTGGGTTTGTTAACTGGCACTTATCCTGAGGAGAAACAAAACAAACTTCTATCTTTTTTAAAAAAGATTTTACTTTTAGGGGCACCTGGGTGGCTCAGTCGTTAAGCGTCTGCCTTCAGCTCAGGTTGTGATCCCGGGGTCCTGGGACTGAGCCCCGCATCGGGCTCCCTGCTCAGCGGGAAGCCTGCTTCTCCCTCTCCCACTCCCCCTGCTTGTGTTCCCTCTCTTGCTGTCTCTCTCTGTTAAATAAATAAATAAAATCTTTAAAAAAAAAATACTTACCTTTAAAATAGTCTCTACACCCAACATGGGGCTCGAACTCACAACCCCGAGATCAAGAGTCACATGTTCCATCGACTGAGCCAACCAGGTGCCCCAGACTTCTCCTATCTTTAAAGCAGGAGGCAGTAGAGCAAGTTAGAGCATGCTGCAGCCCTTATCCGTCCCCCGCCCGCCACTCATAGGGACTGTGAGGTAGGGTGAGAGTTAGCTTTTTGAATGTTCGCATTTCAAAGAAAGATTCTTGAGAAGACTATTCTGGGTGGTAGAGATTTACATCTCAAAGGGACAGAGAAAAGATTTATAGTTGCAAGCTTTCTAAAGTAACTGCTCTAAGAGAAGGTTTAGAGGCCCTATCTGCCTATCACCAGGTTTTGGCTAGAATAAACAGTAAACTCTCGCGGGCAGCATTGAGCTTTCTCCCGCAGGAATTTAAGGGTGTTGCTGTTATCATCCCAGGGATGCAGGCTTGAGCTGTTAGAAACTATGCTAGTGTTTCTTCAAGTCTCTCAGTGTGTGTGGAGGATGGGGTGAGGGGGCAGGGGAGTGAAGGAAATAACTTACACAGAGGGTCTGTGGGTTTTACAGGCCAAAGTTGAGGCCTGGTTGAGAAGACTCAGAGGAGCCTGAGTAGAATTTGGTCAAGAAAAGAGTCTGGCATCTGTATGCCAAAGCCTGTCCATAGATGATTCTAGTGACCAGGGTTAAAAAAAATAATAATAATTCCTGCAGTAAGGAGATTTACAATCCTTGCAGAAAGGCAGCTTGCTTAAATGTATTTCTGAGTTGTTCCTAATACACAACTGCAGAAGCGGTTGGCAAACAGGAAAGATTTCTGCACTGCTCTGTGGTGAGGACACATAGCATTACAGAGCTGCTGCAATTACCTTGTATTTCATAAAGTTGCATTTCATTCAAGTTCCAAGTCAAGGAAGATAAGGGACTGAGAAGTAACTGCAACAGACACCCCCCAATTTTTTTTTTCCTTCAATATTTAAAAATATACTTTCAGGGACATCTGACTCTTGGCTGTGAGAGACCTAGCACAAGCCCTTACATCTCCATGTCCAGAGTTACCCCTGCACCCAGGGAAGATTGTATCAAATGGCATCCCCCAGCTACAGCATTATGTTAAGATACATACCAGATGCAGCATCGAATGGGATAAGAATTAAAAAGAAAATGCAGCCTAACAGGGCAATTTCTTTGTGGGAGTAAACTGATTGTGAATTCTGCTATAGACTGAATGATGGCCCCCCAAAATTCATATGTTGAAACCCTAACCCTCAACATGACTATTTGGAGATAGAACTTTTAAGGTTAATGAGGTCATAAGGGTGGGATCCTAATCTGATAGGATTGGTGGCCTTATAAGAAGTGGGGGGTGGAGATCTCACATGCATGCACTGAGGAAAGGTCATATAAAGACACAGGGAGAAGGCAGGCATCTGTAAGGAAGAAGGTCCTCACCAGAAACCAAATTGGCCAGCACCTTGATCTTGGACTTCCAGGTTCCAGAACTGAGGAATAGATTTCTGTTGTTTAAGCCACCTAGTCTATGGTGTTTTGTTATGGCAACCCAAGTAGATTTAAGGCTGGATCAATTGTGGGTTCTTTTATTCATTCATTCACTCATTCATTCATTCCTTCATTCAACAATTATCCCTCTTTTTTATTTATTTATTTATTTATTT